TATAGCATGACGTAGATAGTGACGTATTGACTTTATGCCTAAATTTTATATAACGTGAAAAGGTAACTAACTACCTTTGACCTTCTAAATGTCTGCAGCTATAATCAGGAAAATTGATTGTACATATATAAGTTGTTATGGTTTCATCATGCTATAAATTATGGAGGCACTTGAGAACAACTTTCTAAGCTAAATTTGGATATATTAAACACTTAAAATACTGAACTTTAAATTTTATCAATAGGTTGGTTTAAAAACTGAACCTTTTAAACCTATTTTACTAATAAACCTCGAAGTTTCTGCATAAAAAGAGTTGATGGTACATTATTAAATTGTACAGTAAATATGTCTATACATGTTAAGTGCTTTAATTAAACGTCAAAAAAAAAATTTTTGTTAAAGTTTTACATGTATATTGCTAAATAACATGCATTGAGGCAATAAGTTAAATTGTCCTTTTTTACTGATTAATTGACTCTAAGTATTACAGGAAAACAAAGCGGAAATATAACGTTATCAAGCCAATTACAATTTTAAATATAATTAATTTATTTACCTAAAGAAATGTGAAAAATGAACAATAAACATAATGGTTAATTTATGTCGGGTTCACTAAAAATACGCATTATAGCTTTTATATATAGCAATCAATATTTGGAGTTTAAATAAAATACTCAGTGCTTTCTTTAACTTAAACTGTAACTTAACCTCTAACACCTAATTTTGCATTAAATTTCATAATGAAATAATGAAAACATATGAACATGGTGTTGAATACCATAGGTACATTTCATAATTTCTGTATCAGATCATATAAAGATGTTAAATCCAAGCTAAAGCATGATGTTAAACATCAAAAAGTCTATTAAATTTAAATAATTATTAGGTTATCCAAAAGTGCAATAAAAATTTTATTGACGATTTTATACAAGCGAATCTCAATATAAAAAAGGTGGTTGGGTCCATAGTAAAAATTTTACAAATCTTTCTTATATCGAGAGTTTATTAATAACTTTCTTATATCGAGTGGATTTATTATAGACTGGTTTTGATTTGACTTTCTTATATCGAGAATCACTTGTCATATTAATCAAAAAACTTTTCTCTTTTCATAAATTGTAAAGGAAATTGTACTAAATGACCATAAACTCTTGCAAGCTGTTCTGCCACTTCGCCAATTGTGTGATTAGAACACATATGACCCGGATTCGACTTGGAAACAAAATCCTTACAAGC